TATTATAACTTGAACTGATACATATATGTACCTGGTCCTACTTTGTAATTGATTGACTGAATGACTCACATCTACTCAACAAAATGATCTTATTCAAGTGATGAAATCAATGTGACATGCAAAAAAAGTGATGTAGCAAACAAAATAAGAATTAAGATATGTTACTAAATAAAAATATCCATAGGCTACTATTCTATAAGCATCCAAATAGACTTTTTTCTTTACCTCCAAGCCTTTTAACTAACGAACTAATAATGAGCCATAAATAAAAATTTTCTATTTCCCAAATGGTTAGTTAACTAAATCTGATTTTAGTAATACGAAAATTCTCATTTATACATTTAGAATAAAATGAATAACTCAGAAAAGAATATGTATTTTTCAAATGGAAAAATAAGTTTTCCTTCTCTTCTCTATTTATCTTTTCTAAATTACTTGATTCTGGCTATGAGATTGAAAATAGTTAGCGTTATTTTTAACTACAGTTTATATTTTCGGACAATATTTTCATTTTATGAACCCATTACCTTATTGACATGTATGAAAGTGTTTCTGTTCCAAATGTTCTTTTCAATTCCGACTATATTATGTCCCATTTTAGATACAAATTAAAAATTCCTTTTTATAGTCTACCAATAAGGTATTTGTATAAGTTATTTTCGCTTAAAAAAAGGGATCATTACATTTCACCGACAGCATAGCCTTAGTGACTAAACTGTATATGATACTAACTTTCTCGGTATCAAAATGAGGAATTAGAAATGTTAATGATCCTAAAGAAAAAAATTTTTTTTGATTCATTCGCTGTCCCTGTTTAGTGACAAAAAAATTCAATCGTACAATAAAAAATTACATAATACCTATAGAAAACTGATGAGGATAACTTTTTAAAAAGATGCTCTTTTACAGTAAGGTAGTTTATCATGCATTATGTAATATATATGAAAACTAACAGTGATGCGAACAATTAAACACTGAAACATTTAATGAATGTAGACATTATATATATATATATATATATATATATATATATATATATATATTGAACAATTGTCTACGCAAAATACTCAACATTCACTGGCCGGATACTATCAGCAACAGCGTTTTATGGGAGAGGACAAACCAGCTTCGAGCTGAAGAGGAAATTAGGAAAAGACGTTGGAAGTGGATCGGACATACATTGAGGAAATCACCAATGTGCATCACGACTCAATCCCTAACTTGGAATCCGGAAGGGAAGCGGAAGAGAGGAAGGCCAAAGAACACACTACGCCGGGAAATAGAAGCCGATATGAAAAGGATGAATAGCAACTGGAAAGAACTGGAAAGGAAGGCTCAGGACAGAGTTGGATGGAGAATGCTGGTGAGCGGCCTATGCTCCTCCACAAGGGGTAACAGGCGTAAGTAAGTAAGTAAGTAAGTAATATATATATATAATGAAATTTTGATAAAGTATGTCAAAAGACTATCTTTGATTCTCCTCTTGACGACTAATAATATAATTCATTATCTGATGATGAGATATACGAAAATGGAACATGGTGTGCATAGTTTCATAGTGAAATGCATAAATGAATTGGACGATTGTTAATCTTAAACTATTAAAAGCAGTTAGTAGGAGATAAGTTTTTATCATAAGTCGAATTTATACTCTCACTTACAATTTTATCAAGAGATTTATGAAATAAGATTAGTTAACCTAATTGTTTTTCATTAAACAGAATAACTTATAGATATGAACTGATCACTTTTATATTAGAGGTAATCATATTAGTGGCAAAAGAATAAAATAAAATAAAACTAAGGAGTATCAATAATATTTCTTAGTTGAAAGCATAAGTCAATTGAAGCTAGACCTGGACGGTGTTTCGTTCTATTGTTGGACTCCTCAGCAGTGCGCATCCACGATCTCGCCTCGCGAGATTCGAACCCAGGACCTACCAGTCTCGCGCAAGAGTACTTAATCGATAGACATGCTTTCAATTATGAAACTACTGAAATCTCCACAAAAACCCCTTTTGATAATAATATTTTTACTATAAATATGAAACAAGGGTTAATAGAATCAAGGAGTAACCAAACACATTCAAAGTCAGATAGTCTGCCATTTATTTATATTTCTATGCTTAAACCTGTCAAATAACGAAAACAAAATATTCATAAACTATTATTTCATCTTTGTTAAGCGGTGGGCCTTCATCGTCAATAATCTTAGATTTTGTGTCTAAAATGACCGGTATTATATAAAGTATTTCTATTACTGAGTTTCAATTTAGAATTCAAATTAGCCTTTCTTCTCAGTACTCACTAATTAGAGAATAATATCAGTTTCATTTCTGATTTATTAAAGACTTTCAGTCAACATAATGTATCCCTGGTTTACTTGTGATTGCGTATTTCAAAGGATGATGAACCAGTTATTTAGTAATGAATGGTGCTCAACGATCCTCCAGTTGTTCCTAGACAGTAAAACTGTCTTCACACAGTAAATTGTTTCTTTATATTGATTTTCTTCAGCATGACACTATTTAGAATGTTATTAGTTGATCAAAGTCCGACTACGAATCACTTATTACGGAAGAATTCTAACTGAAATTTGTGCAAGTGTTATTACCATCACTGATTCCAGAAACTTACCAAAAACCTACGAGACGACAGCTATCTAAGTTCCCGTTTTAAATACAATCTCTAGATATGTAAATCTAAGTTATCACTCATGAACTAATTTAATACTACATTGGATCAACCTAATAACGAGTGAAAAACGTTTTGATACATACAATATTTTATTAAGATCACGAACCGACCTAATTTAGACGACTGTTCGAAAGCATAAAGTACTGGACAATTGCTCCATCCTACAATTTCGTCTAAAGTGTCATCGTCAATGCAAACTTGTGAAGGGCCTTATACCAAGACGAGACTGATGCTCAGTACTTACTTGTTTTCCATGGTTCCCTAACTTAAGTCGAACTGTTACTAAAGTGAGAAATAATAATTTCCACAAACCTAAATATTGATACACTAAGTTAGCCGATTTATCGAATAATAGAACTTTATATCTTAGACTTCACTAAGCGTTACGAATTTTATATCCACTTCGAATGGCGATGAGAACATAACTGATTATGCTAATATCGCTTACATGAAATAAATAATATAAGAACATCTTATTTAAATATTATTACGGTTAATTTATTTGGATTTCTTTTCATATCATAGCTAAATTATCTTAAGTGTTTATAGACTTTAACTGCGATATGATATACGTCATAAACTGAAATCTGACGCAAAGCCATTAAAAACCTAAGGAAGCTAATGCTATTTTGTTATACGAATCGTTTTCGGAATGAACAAAACTTTTTACGAAAAACCACTCTATTTAAAAGAAAATTTATAACATCTTGTCCACTGAACTTAGACTATCCAACTCTAATTATCAATTCTGTAATATTAGACTTTTATGTAAATGATTTATCGTTATCTAACACGAAGCTGTGACAGTTTAAGCATTTCTAGATGATTGATTATCAAACAAAACAGGTTATTAATGAAGCAGTTAAAGTATATCTTCATGGCAGAGTACAAATTTTAAATTAAATATACTAATATTAATTGCAACTTGATGGACTGATTTCCGTAACTTTGTTAGATTGCTGAACTTGTAGGTTAAGTAACTTTAGATTGATATCTTGTAAGTGTCAAATTCTTCAAATAATCTACATACAGAGCTTAAGAATCTTCAGTGGATGTTGGTAGCATGACAGATGAAAATAGTAAATTCTACCTGTTTTTATTCAATGAATGATTTAGGATGATTTCCTTTTTATTTAATTGCATATATCCACTAGTTTTCATCACTGATTCGGCAACTTAATAAATATTTTAACGAGAACAAACAGCGGTCATCTATTTCTCTTAAAAAATCGATAAGTCTATTTGAATAATTTTGTGTATCATGAGATAGATTAATGCGGTTTCAGAATTGTCTCTTATTCCAAGTACTTTATCTTTTAAAAAAACATCTTTTTAGATGTCGTCTCTAGAAGGAATAATTTTAAAGATGTGGCTGGGAAGTACGGATTTACAACATTTCAGTATCAAACAAATAGACACACAATGGAATTAATCAAAGTACTAGTCAATTTTTGAAAACAAGTAGTGGAAGTATGAACAGAGGACTTTATTGTTTAAAATCAACTATAACATCGGACTAATATTACTTGACGAATGGTCAAAAATCATTAGAAAGCTGTTTTGTTCTTTTCTGAGACTCTAAATCATGAACTTCTTATCATACTCAATAACTAATCTAAAGTATTCGAGTCTCACACAGTGAATTAGAACTCAGTGATTTGTGGATTAATGCATTTCGGTAAAGCAGCATTAAAGTTCTCCTTCATCATACAGCCGTAAAAATTCGATACCTTGAAAATCAAATAAACATTAACCAAGGCACTATTGATATTTTTTAAAGTAGGACAGTAGTATACCTCATGATCTGATGATATCATTAAGGTTATATTCCATTTACATAACTGAACTAGTTACGAAACATTATCAAAACTAAGACAAAATGATTTTTGTTGACTGAAATTTAAATGATTCTCTTTACATACAGAGATGACGATTGTATTTGAAAAAACAATAAAGACGATGAAATATCGAATCGCCAGGTTAAAATCTTCAGTGAATCAGACTTTTTCTTTTAACATTCAATCGTGAATTCTGTAGAGATAGTTTAGTCTACAAATCAAGGTGAATTTATTCTATCTAATTAGTGATTCTGATTATGTTTGAAAATATTTGCAAGCTAGAAAGAAAAACTCAATTTTTCATAAAATAATTTTACAACTTAACAATTATCGATCAGTCTAGGCTTTTGGATCATACTTTTTGAAATGGACATGGTGATTAATTACTCAACCGTTTTAAAATATAATTTATACTGCTTTTACAAAAAGAGCATTATGAGAATCCAATCATATTGAAAAACTTACGTTTACACTCATTAGCTGATTCAGAAGTACCTCTTGCCCAGGGTCTATCTAAATAACCAGGAGAACAACGTTCACAATCAGCTCCTTCTGTATTATGTTGGCAATCACATCTAAGTGGCCCCCATTGAGATTTCATCTGACCATTATTATCTGTTGTTATTCCTGTACCAACTATTCGATCTCTGACACAACGGTTAGCATGTCCATTACACTTACACCGACCACCGATAGATAAATCAGAGAAAGAGAAGTGAACAGGTGTTTTACTATTAGGTGTCTTTGAATAGTGCATATCAGACTGATATAAATGTTGTGACATATCCAGTGTACCTGCCTCGGACAAGACAGGATTTGTGCCAAAACCACCAATACTGGGACTGCCACTAACACGAAATACATTTGTTGGTTTCGGAAAACTTGGGTTTAAAAATAGTCCATTTGAATCATATTGAACTTCATCTCGATATTCCGGGAATCGCATAAGACTTATTCTTAAATCCGTCATAGTCATCCAGTCGATCAGTGCTGAACTCCATGGTTGCATTGATGGTCGTCCAATAGTTGTGCTAAATGCGATAACATTCGATGATTGTCCTGAATTACCATGTACATCTGGTGATTTCAAAGCAACGCATAAGACTTCTTGTATGTTTGCTAAAGAGATTTGTGCATTATGCTCATTACTTGTAGGCAAATGAAATGCTCGATAACAATCAGTCGAGAAATATTGCCATGGTTTCCATGTTACACCAAAATCAGATGACTTATATAAAGCAATTGAATCCGGCAATTGACCACAAGGTTGCAAAGAAATATAGTAAACTTCAAAACGTTTACCTAGTGATAAAGTTAGATTTACTGTGTCACCTGGTAAAACAGATCCTGAAACCCAACATGTTTCATTATTCATTTGATGTCTATCAGTTAGTAAGTGTGTTCCAAATTTCTCACCTTTACCACATGTTTCACACTTTTCATGTCCCATTACATATCTACATATTTCTTCTGACTGATCAAATTGACCACATGTTGAAGTTGCTTTAATATCAACACTTTCAGCAATATTTGTAAATGGTGGAGAACATTCAATTGCTTGACCTTTAGTATAACATACAGATCTTGTTGCTTCATAAATTACTTTAATATTTGAATCTTTTTCATCAGTATAATGTTTTTGATTTAAATCAGAATGAGGATTTAAATTGTTTGCATTAATACAAATGTTACTGAAGTAAAATATTATCCAACTGATTATCAAAATAGGCAACATGAGTTATTCTATTGAGTAATATTAATTTCACAAAAAGGGATTTTCTGTTATTATCGTCAGTATGAATGCATCAATTTAGACTTATATTGACAAATTTTTATACGAGTCCTTTTTCTATTGGTAATAATGATGATTTGATAAAATTGGCATTTTAATGATTAATACAACCAGTGATACGTTTTGTTGACTGCTAGTTAACTATTTCCTTTCTGTATGAAATAAAACAGAATAGGAAAATGAAATAAAATAAATAAAAAGAAAAATAAGAATTTTTCTTTTAACAGATAAGACTTAATTTACATATAAATGTAACCATAGGAAATAAACTAACTTCATCAATATTATTTATTATTCGTCATCAAAATTTAGGTTACACTTAGTATAGAAGGAATTTGATTGGTTAATAAAATGGAATAGAAATTTCAACACAATAGGAGGGGGGCAGTGTGGTAATTATTTATAATAGATAGGATAAAATGAATTCAAACAAATTATTAAGTATGAATAAATTTAAATGTTAACTCTTAAATTAGGCGCATTAAAAAAAATAGATAGTGAATGATTCAATTATATAAATTAATTTAAAATATATTGAACTTTAATATAATTGAACAGTATTTTCATTACATATTACTTAAATACATATATTCAAGAAATAATTTGATTTCTACTCAAAAAAAAATTTTAAGAAATTTATAGTGATAAAATGAATTTATTCTAAGAAAAAACTTTTTTTCTCTTTTGAAAAAAGAAACAACAACCTGATGGATTGATAATAATAAAATCTAATCAATATAAGTGAAGATGGATAGTGGCTAACAGTGGAATCCAGGATGCACATCTCGTCCTATTCGGGACTTGTCAGATGGATGTACCTGCATCTCAGAGTTGATGTTCATTCTAGGACTCGAAACCAGTACCTTTCGCTTCAAACGCCATCTCATTATCCACTCAGCTACTGAGTCATGATAGCCACTTGATTGTGCAATAAGAAGATTCAAACAAACAATACCGAGTGAATTCAAACTTCACCACATTGCACAAGCAAGTGGCTATCAGGACTCAATAGGTGAGTGGATAATGCGATGGCGTTTGAAGCGAAAAGTACTGTGTTCGAGTCCCAAAGTGAACATCAACTCTGAGATGCAGGTACATCCAGTTGGCCAGTCCTAAATAGGATGAAACGCACGTCCTGAATTCCACTGCTAGCCAATGTCCATCTTTGCTTATAATACTTGTGAATTAAGGCTATATCGTGGCAATACGCACAGTATGTACATATGACAATTAGAGACTGACCAGTTGCAGCCCTAAACGTCAATGGGAAGATTCAAACAAACAATACTAAATGAAAATCTAAGCATGTTAAATTATGAAAACAAGTATATTGATAGAAAATATATCTGATTTCATGCTGTGAATGACTTGGTAATAAAATAAATAATAATTAACTTATGAAATCATGAAATTATCAAATCGATAATAAGTTTTAAGTTTCACAAATAGAGATTCTCAAGAAATTTATGATTCTCGTATTGTTTAATAATATATATGACTAATTTAGACGTAAGATCTAACGATAATAAAAAGTAAATCAAGTTCATGTAATCTTATAATTCAGATTCTCGTTTGCATGAAAAAATGTGTCTTATTAGAATTTCGATGAGGAGTTTGTATTGGTTTCCAAGAATTCACAATCGATCTTGAATTTCATGCTGACCAAGTTTTATTAGATTACAATATTATAATTTCATTAACTGCGGTAATTATCATCGCATTCGCCGATATCTGAAGCTAAAGATTATGTATACTACTGATAGCAAAGCTGAAGAATTTTCCCAAACTTATTTAAAAACCACAAGACAGTCTTTCTTGAACCTTGGATATCTAGAGAGTTTGACCAGTAGATAGACAGAGTCGATCATGAGATTAAAATGAATGACACATGGCTAATATTTTCTTTAAGGATTGTAAAATCTATTTAACCGGACCCCATAGTAATTCATAGACACAAATGAATCTGAAGTCTATGTATCTAATAAGAATGCCGTCCGCAATGTTTGATGTTTGTTGAATGATTTATGACCTATAACAGCATAAAATTCAAAGATTTCGAACATGAAACACAATGATACTTTAGTGTTAAAGACCGCTATTCAGTGACCTCAATCGTTTAAGTGGGTTTGCTAATCATAAATCTTATATACATGATTTTTATGCTGCCAAACGTTTTATTTTTTTAGGATCTTTATGTTATGATTAAAAACTATGTAAAAATATACATTTTTCATAGTTGAAATCATGAGTCAATTGAAGCTAGACTACCATCGAAAACCTGGAAGCATTGGACGGCCGTTTCGTTCTATTGTGAAGCTCCTCAGTAGTGCGCATCCACGATCCCACCTCGCGAGATTCAAACCCAGGGCGCACTACTGAGGAGTCACATGCTAGGATGAAACGGCCGTCCAATGCTTCCAGGTTTTCGATGGTGGTCTAGCTTCAATCGACTCATGCTCGCAACTATGAAAAATACTGAAATCTCCACAAAACCCCTTCTGATTAAAAATATACATTGTATTCTACATTCAAATATTAGTAATTTAACAAAATATATCAAGAATGCAGATGAAACTAAGTCAATCTATACTCTGTGATGAACATAAACATAACTAATTCTCATTCAGTTTACCTAATATCATCTCTGATCATTTCCAATTTGCCTAATTATCATACGATATACACAGTTATGGAGCTTCAGGCGATAAGATTTCTAATAATAAATAAAACTTTTTGTATCTAAAATTCTGTTTTGCTTTCAAACATTTTGTTTACATACACAACAACCTATTTTGCCTCTGAAAAGCAAAATAATATTGCTAGATTGTACAATAATTAAGAATTAACTAACTGCCTACTTAAAATGCGAAAAGGTAGTATGAGATAAATTATTTTCAAAAGATTTTCCACTTGTTTTTTCATTGTCCCTGGAGATGTTTCGGACATAATTAAGCTAAATTTTATTCAGACGTAAAAGAGTAAGAAATCAACATACTCATCGTTACTCCCTATTAATAATGTTTTCACTTAGTCACACATAGTCTCTTTCTATCTTTCATTATATTCTGGATTCATTTGATGATATCACCCGTTCATATTCTAGAAACATATGTATTCTCAGTTAATATTAGTTGATATAAGTTGATTTCGTGGAGTTCTAAAGAGATGCCGTGATCATTGGAGTCCAAACTGTGTAGGATAGAGACAAATGTCTACATCTGACAATGGATAAATGGTTGCAAAAGATCATGGATCGATTGAAGTTAGACATTAATACCGTCGGATGCCGGCTTAATGGTCTGCAGGTTGAGCGTTCTCGCGCGAGACTAAAGGTCTTGGGTTCGAGTCCCGCATGTGGAATCATGGATCAGCACTGATGAGTAGTCCTATACTTGAAAGAAACGGCCGTTCAGTGTTTCTAGGTTTTGAATGGTGATATAGCTTTAATTGACTCATTAATTCAACTACTAAAATATTACTTTTGTCAAAATGTTCGTATTTGAATTTAGTCTGTAATATGCAAACACAAAGTACCATAATCTTTTTCCGACTACTACAGGAATGAGTAATAAACTAATGAATAAATTGACCAGACCTTTTTTTAAAACAGATGTGCAAGTGTTGGATAAAGATTATTTTATACTGTAACTATATGTTAGTTCATAATATTGAATTCATTCGTGAAAATACAACTAACGGGCCTTTAAATTGCTTCAAACAGATAAGTTTACTTTCTATTTTCAAGCTTTTAGCATGGGATGCTTTCTTCATAATAACCTGTTTTTATAAAACGAATTTTCTTGTATAATTGATGATCGATGAAACAATTTAGGCTTCTACTCGCCTTTATTGTTAAAATAGTTAAGTTTTTTAATCGTAATGATGGATATTACTCATGCTGGATTTATAGTGATACTTAAGTGCTTATGGAGATATAAAAATCGACTGAAATTTGGTATATCCAACGCTATGATATATAAATTCTGGATTAGAAATACGGACGAAATAATGTTCATCTTTATGTAGAACTTAGCTTTGTTTCTGTGACTAATATTTTCAAAATCGAGGACTGCAGTGAAGTTGCCGCCTATAATAACAAAAAGAAATCATATCAGGTAGTTGCTATGACTGCGAACTTGATGGTGATAGAGACAGGAATATTTTTAAAATTAGGTTGCAATATATTTTATGTGAGCATGTAAAATAACCTTAAATGTAATCAAATTTACGTAAATCGAACTGTTATATTCAGCTTTAACAATTCATTCATTCTTTTGTTTTAAGCATGAAAGAGAAATCCTAGACATTGCTTAATGCTGAAAAAAGATTATGTCAGAACTTTTGATAAAATTATCTAACTTCAAATATTTGAGAAGAGAAATGTTCTCAACACCCTGTTTTAATTCGGATACATAGATAAGAAAAAATCCAACAAAGTTTATGATATACAGATTAATTGGCCGATGTTCTATAAAACCCAAACAACATTGGAAACAAAAACCACTGTGTGGGAGTGGTAACAATAGTAGGGGAATTCACATAGATTAAGTATATTTGTAACAGAGTAAATAATAAGAAAGAAAATCATTATGTTTATTACTTACAATTAGCGAAAGAGTGAATATATCTGTCTATGTACAAGGGTTTCTCTTTGTCATTTTTGAAATTTTTAATAATCTTAATGAGAAGAGATGTATGGTGGCTAGCACTGGAATCCAGGACTCACGTTTCGTCCTATTCTGAACCCTTCGGCTGGATTTACCTGTCAGAACTCAGTAGCTAAGTGAATAACGGAATGGCGTTTGAAGCGGACGGTACTAGGTTCCAGTCCCGGAGTGAACATCAACTCTGGGATGCAGCTGACGAGTCCCAAGTAGGACGAAACGAGCGTTCTGGATTCCGATTCTAATCATCACCCATCTTCGTTTATAATGGTTGTGACTTAAGGCAATGCCGAGGCAAATCGCACAGGATGCACATATGTCATAAGAGACTGATCAACTACAGTCCTAAATAGCAATCGAAAGATTCAAACAAATAATACAGAATGATCTTAATGAGAAGCGTTTGATTGCCAAGCTTTTACAAATTTTTGTTTAGTAACTACATAATTTAAAGGCAGCTTTACCAAAACTATACATTCGTTTTCTCTCTTTCTATGCTGCCCAGCTTCTCGAGCCTCATAAATCACTAGCTCAATCCATTTAATGTTTTCTAGACACAAGTTCAGAAACAAGTTCGCAACCACATTGGCAAAATTTAT